ACACTGAAAGGATGGTGCTACCCTGTCTGAGGGAAATCCCACAGAGCCTAAAAATTCTTGTTCATGTTCTTGGGTTCGGTAAAAAGTGGAAGAAGGTAGAAACTGGCATTCAGCCACCTAAAGACCTAAGAGTTCCAGCCCTCCACATACACAGAGACTGGAATTTCAGAGCGGAAAGGAGCCATTCTTTCCATGTCACTGATGAGCAAACCCAACCCCAGAGTTGAAGTATTTGGCCCAAGTTTATATGTGGCAGAACCAGGCTATAAAACTTTGGCCATGCCGGAGGTTTTTATCACATTGTTCCTTTGTATTTTCTACCACAAATATCAATTATATTTTTATGTACGGAACAGACACTGACATAAATATAGGCAGTATCATGCTCTATTTACAATATAAGCAGAATGTTGATGACCCAGGTGGGAATTCTAAAATATACACAGCGATTGCAGTTCTCTATTTAGGAAATTGTCATTTAAAGTGTGTCAGTTAGTGACAAACTTCAGGCTAATTTAGTAATTGAGCAGAGTTTCTGAGGCTCAGGTGTTGGGATAATCTAGATACCTGGAGTGAGGTATATAGAGAGAAGTTTAGTTCAGGAGAGAGATGGGGGTCAGAGAGGAGGCATTTAATTTTAGTCATTTTGTATACAGGTCCTAGGTTGAGCTTTGGATATACATTTTGTTCCAAAAAGTAAACTCTGATTACTTGAGGACAGGAGAAAAAAAAGGATCCGATTGCACCGTACCAAAACTAAAAATCATACCAAGAAGAGGAGGAGAGTGTCACTTAAGAATCTCCCTGAGGACCCTTCCTGGTGGCGCAGAGGATTGGAACACTGCACTGCTAAGCTAAGCCAAGCTGTGGCCGCTTCAGTGCGAGTTCAATCCCTCACTCGGAGGTGATCCACATGGCGCGGCAGACCTCTCCTGTGTCGCCCGCTGCTCCCCTCAGCAGTGTACTTGTAAGTCGGCCTGCTTTTACCCACTCTGTCTCTGGTGAATCCTTTCACCGCCCCTGTACCTCTCTCGCCTGTACCCCATTTCTGTATGCACAAATAAATAAAATCATTAAAAAAAAAAAAAAAGAATCTCCCTGAAGGAGAAAGGGCACTCCTGAAAGGCCAAGTTTCTGGAAGACAATTTCTTATCTCTTTAGTGGCACTGGCCTTCAGTACCACTTGAGTCTTCCTACGAATCATGAATAATCTGTGTTCACAAAAATTCCATGAAATGAAGAGGACAAGTAGCTTCAAAAGAAATTTCCTAACTTGGGGTACATCTAATAGGGCTACCTGGATCATGGCCAAGGAAGAAGTGACTAATGCTAGAGAAGAAAACATTCTGGAATATCCTTTTAAAAAGAAACTGACGGCAAAAACTTCATGGCTGATCTCATGGCTGAAGTGAGATGTGGTATTCATTCTTGCACCCCATTCTCAATACCCACTCAGACTCTAAGTCGAGCTCCGGGTCCTGTCCAAAATGCCCTACATCAGTCCCTCCACTTCCATTCCAAGGATGTGTTGAATGAGTAGAGAAAGAATGACTAGCGGGCAAGGAAGCTGTTACCCAATGAATAGGAACAACACCTTATGAACAGTCAGGATGGCAGTGAATTTTCTCAGGGATTCCTATCAGGGAGACTCAGGGCAGACAAAGGTTGCTGGGAAACTTGGTGTTCTAGGGAACACTGGGGCAAATGTTGGTAGAGACAACATAGCACCGGCTAAGCCCTGCACCCGCCCAGGGGCTCTGTCCGGCAGCCTGGCAGAGGAGTGCCTAGCTGTGCTCTACAGTATGTGCTTCCTTGGTGACTTGAAGGCCCCAGGAGGCCAACAAGCCTCTACAGCTTCCCTGGCAACACTGCCTAATAAAAGAGCTGTTTTATGTCAATGGAAAATCTTGCCCATGACTAAGCTACAGAGAATGGTTCCTTTTCATGCTAAGTTATTTTTGATGCAATTAGTTGGTCTTTAACTTGGACCAACATGTTTGGACTCCATTTCCTTAAAAGCCATCTGTTTTAAATGACTTAAGGAATGACAGACAAGATTAGGGCCACGTATAACTTTGAGCTTCCTAAATACTTAATAAGCAAAGGAATTGAATGTGAACCAAGGGTGAAAAATGTGGCTGTACCACCACCTCCCTAGTGGTGCAACGGGTTAAAGCACAGAACTATGAAGCTATCTGCAGCCACTGCAGCACCAGTTTGGTCCCCGGCCAGGAGGTGACCCACATGGTGCTGCAGACCCCTCCTGTCCTGCCTGCTGCTCCCCTCAGCAGTGTGTTTCAGTGTAATTGCCTGTTCTGCTCCCCACTCTGTCTCTGGTGAATCTTTTCACCCCTTGCACCTCTGGCCTGTACCTCAGTTCTTATATGCACAAATAAATAATTTTTTAAAAATTATTTAAAAAAATATTTTGAAAACGTGGCTTTATTATTATTTAAGTCTTAGCTTGACTTCTTATAGGTGGAAGCTGGAGTGTACATGAGGCCATATGTGAAAGATGCTTGTTCTTCTCCTTATTAGCCCTGTGACCTTTGACAGGTTAATTGATATCTCTCTACCTCATTTTCTTCAGCTACTAAATGGGAATAATAATAGGACCAACCTGAATGGGGTGTTTATGAAGATTAAATAGGTTACATTTTGAAAACACAGTTGTAACTGGTATAGGATATCTGCTTGATATTTAAAATCTACTATGTTGCCATTATTATTTTGAAATTATTTTAAGTGTATTGCCTTCCTGTTGCACCAAATCATTTTTCCAAACCTCAGGGAGCCCGATGTGTTTTGGAATAAAGAATTTTTCAGATATTAGAGAAGTAAAATGAGGCTTCTATTTTTTGTTTCATAAACCCCAAGTGAGGTTTGAAGGTTGTCTCATCAGCCCACATATCAATATTTCTTTAGCAAGTAATACTCATATTCAGTAAAATGAATGAAGACTATAAAGAGTATATGAGTTCATATTATGTTACTAAATGAATTTTCACCAAATTTAGGGGAAAAGTTTTCTATTCAGAGTTTTGTGGATTTCTGCTTATAGAGCTAGGGAAGGAAAACTGTGTTAGTCCAGTGTTATCCTTGTGACATCTCCATAGTAAGTGAAGTGCAAACTGTGCATTTCCTGGTATTAAAGCCAAAATATCGAGGGGAAAAATCCCAAACCAAAACCCAAAACTCACGTGTCTGTGCACTCACCTCTACAAGTTCGTGGAATGGGGAAATGCCGAGAGCCTTCCAGTAGGACTTGGTGTCTAATAGCACTTTGTAGACCCCTTCTACAAATTTCTCCTCAGTGGTAAGCCCATGGAGCTCTCCAAATTCACTGGTTTTCCTAGAGGTGCAAAAGTCTGGGTTAAGCAAAGCATTGAAAGAGTAACAGCATGACAAAATGACACCACACTGGTGTCATGCACGCACGTGCAAACACATACCCAGTCAGGACAACGAAAAGTCTGTAATTATCTGAACTTATCAGACAGGAAATTTGATAGAAATGCTTGCAAAAGTTCATTGTAGATTTTTTTTCTCTTTTGATAACAAGATACAAGTGTCATGTTTTAGTTCAAATGGAGTCATTGCAATGGGCTGGTGTTTGGAAGAATGTTCTTAAGGACACTCCAAAGTGGGTGACAGCCCCCCCGACTGGGCAGTTTCCTGAACACCAGGTTTCTCTCCTCCCCCCTGTGGCATGAGGGTACCACTCAGATGAGGTATCATTTCCACACAGAGTTGGGACTCCAGAGTACAATGAGGAATTGTATATATTTAATCTGTTTGGAAATACTTTTTTTTGCCAATAATGAAGAAAGAAACTTTTGTTGTTAACTAGGCAACTTCTATTTAAGTCCCAAATAAGATCTGATTTAGATATGGCCCCTTGGTAGTGGCTGTGGTGTGACAATATCCATTAGAGGAGGTGTGAGTCTATGTTCCTAAATCACATACATTATTGTAAATAAAAATCACTTTAAAAAGTAATACAATAGGCCCTCCCTGGTGGCGCAGCGGGTTAAAGCACAGCACAAAGAAGCTTAAGCCACTTCCGCATGAGTTCGATCCCCGCTGCCCCGGAGGAGATCCACATGGCGTGGCTGACCTCTCCTGACCCTTCTGCTGCTCCCCTCAGCAGTGTACTTCATCAATCTGCCTGTTCTGCTCCCCACTCTGTCTCTGGTGAAGCCTCTCACCCTCCGCATCTCTGGCCTATAACCCAGTTCTGTATGAATAAATAAATAAATCTTTAAAAAAAAAGTAATACAATAAAGAAGAACTGACAGAAACCATTGCCACTTAAACTGCAATATTGAAGACACATAAAACAAAGTCTTTGCTGCCTCTGATCACCTTTCTTCTTTTCCAGGAAGAAAATATTGTCATAAAAAAAATTATCATGGACATATATTTGGTGTCTATCCTATTTCTTGCTTAAAATACTGTCTTACCTATGTTCATTAGTACATGCCATTTTATATAAACATAAACTACCAGCAAAATCTCACCTGAAATCACATAAAAGAAAATGATATCCCTAATAATGAGTAAGGAATTGCATGGGGCTTTTAGTATTCAGTTAAAACACACAGGAAGTCGCTTCCAGGAGACAGAAATACTTAGCAATAATATTGGGTGCAAAGAGGTTCCTAGGTGCTCTTTCAGTTAGTTGGTTCAGGTTTAGGAATACGCATTTACTTTGAAATTCTTGCTCGCAGAAGTGGACAAGCTCCCTTAAGGCTGTGAAGCAGCCAACAGGTGACAAGCTGCTCTCGAGCAGATGTTGGGTGACTGTGAGCTCGGCTGTGGCTGTGTCTGCGCTCTGCCTGACTTTCCTGTGTCCTTTCTTAGTGAGCTCGACAGCGCCCAGCCATGCAGAGTGCGTGCTCCCCACTAGTTGTTAGACAAAAGCCCTAGATGTGGGATGAGCTGCAGACAGCTTCACACACACAAACATGTATCTGTAATTTCAGGACTTTTGCAGGATCCCTGGTGCTCTTGGGTAACTCTCAAGCTGAGAACTTTTGTCTTGCAATTTTAGAAAAGATGTGCACTATGTGATAATTTATTCATGAAAGGAAGAGAAATTGAGGGGCAGCACTCACAAAGCCTCTGCATGGCATTTGGGATAGTCAGTGACAACAAGAAACAGGTGGCACCTTCCATCTCCAGCAGTGGCTCACCACGTTGGATCACATACCACTTTAAGAGAGTGATGGAAGCTACACACTCAGAAAATGATGTTCAGATTCCTGGTCATGCTCAGCTATGCCAAGCAAGAGGAGGGCATCTTTCTCAGGGCCCTCTTGGCCTCTGCCAAAGTTTTCTGTTTAATGGTAGATTCTTTAGCAAATGCTGTGAGGTCCTCTCTCTAACAAGTGGCAGGTGAGTGAAAGAGAAAATGAAGTCCCATGTCTGCTTTCGCTGGGCAGCTTACCCAGCGGCGAACAGGTCCCAGGTGTCATCAGCAGCTTTTTTGAACACCTTTATGTCCACGTTGACAGCGGGACTGCCTCGGACAGCATCCAGGACTTTGACCATGAGGGGACACTTGGATTGACCCTGGGCATGGACAAGGCAAGTGAGAAGTTAACAGGCTTGGCAATAGAGAGAGGATCCACTCTTTATGATACTAGGAATCTGGAACGAGGCAGGAAATGTATTCTAATCACATTTACTGCAACCTAAGTGACAGTTAATGAGCTTTGTTACTCCTTATAATAGACAAGAGTGTTCTCCATACGGAATGGTTTTCACCTTCAGACACACTGAGCTCAACTTGGGAAATATAAGATGAATTTTAAAGGAAAGAATAGGCTCCTGAGACCTTTGGCTTCATTAAGCCTCATGGTTTGAATGGAACTGTTGAAATATATAACGTTCCATGGAACCAAATCGTTTTCCTGAGAGCATTTTAGTCAATTGTTGTCCAAGTCATTAATTACCTCTTAGTAGCTGTAAACTAATGTTGGATGACTTCGTGATCCACTTTATAGTATTTATTAATTCTTCTAGAGTTCTCAGGATAATCTAATATTGCCCTCTAAGCCTTTCAAAAAAGAGTTGATAAATCCATTTTGATTAGTGAAAGAGAAATAAATTCTATAAAGGTATGCAGTTATGAAAATTTGCTATAAAGAACTTCACAAATGTCATATCATTATTTCTACCATCTATCTTAGGACACTGAGGTGCCGAGCATAGCAAACCTGAAACACCAAAACAAGGAGCACACCCAGAATCCAAGCCCCAGTTCAGTGAGCTCAGCAAAGCTTCATTCTTTTTGGAGTTTGAATCATGATGTTGAAAAAGGGATTGTGGGTTCTCCCTGGTGGCACAATGGGTTAAACACAGAACTATGAAGCTATCTGCAGCCACTGTGGGACAAATGTGATCCCTGGCCAGGGAGGCGACCCACATGGCCTGGCAGACCTCTCCTGTCTTGCCCGCTGCTCCCCTCAGCAGTGTATATCAGTACATCTGCCTGTTCTGCTCCCCACTCTGTCTCTGGTGGATCCTCTCGACCCTCGTGCCTCTGGCCTGTACCCCAGTTCTATATGCATAAATAAACAAATCTTTTAAAAATAAAATAAAAAAAGAGAGGGTAAATCCCCTTGCTCTACAAACAAAGGCTGCCTGGCAAAGCTGGAAAAAGCCACTTCTATTTCTGCTAGAATACATACGAAATAAAAGAAAGGGACATCCCAGAGTGAGACACTCACCGCAGGGCCAGCCTCGGACACGAATACGAGTCCAGCAAGGCATAGAAGCAGCAGCCGGTGTGAAGCCATGCTGTCGGGAACAGTGGGCTCTGGGAGGGCGCTCCCAGCTCGGGGCTTTTATACTCACTTCCCCCAAGCCAGGCTGCTGATCCCTGCCAACCTAACTCCAAACCTGCTGATTCTGATTATTGACTTAGTCAACAAAGGGAGAATAAGTAACCCACACAAATATGAACCTTGCCTGGAGTGATTAGAGCCCTGGAACATTAGCTTTAGAAATATTCTTATTCTTAACAGATCATTTGACTAGTTCAGTCATCAAAACAAAACAAAACTAATAACACAACTTTCATAGGACTTTCTACCTCCCTCACCAATTTCTGTGCATATTTTCCCTATTCTAGGACTTTTGTCTTTCATTTTAGATGATAGATGCACATTACACATTATAATTTATTTCACATTGAATGACAGTTGGCTGCACAAACTTAGAGTAGATAAGAAATCATCATTTTATTTGATATATGTCCATAAGTCAACATAAGTTAAAAAAAAAAAGTGTGTGTATATATATATATATATATATATATTAGCTGAACTCAGTCATTTGGAAGTTTAGCTTAGTTTACAGTTCTCCACAATATTTGTGTTCTTTCCATACACGTTTCAATGGGATCCAAGAATAATGTTATATTTCACTGTGGTGTTGATTAACCTGAAATATAAAGAACTAAATATCCTCTCCTGATTCTCTTGCATTGGATGTAAAGCTGCCTTTTTTATCTAAAGAATCATAACCAAAGTTTTTGGAAGAAAATGGAGACAGAAAGAGAAGCCACAACTGATGACAAATTCTTTTCTTTCTTGCAACTTTCAGATTGGATTTTAATCATTTGATGATTCATTGATCAATGAAACTCTTAAGTCATGTTTATGCGTGTGCACGTGTGTGTGTTTGCACATTGATTAGGGTAGCTTTTGCCTAGATAAAGACAAAAATGTAGATGATGTGGAGTAGATAGGCAAAGATTTTGGGCAAATACATGTCAAGGGAGTATCCAGTTTGGAGGACTAAGAATGGGGTAACATTCTCAAAGTTGAGAGAGTCAGGGTGGAAGATACAAGAGATCTTGAGGAAAAAAGGCATTCAGGAAGTTGTGGAAGGGTCAGCATTCCAGGAAAACAGAAATGTGCATGAGAACACGAAGGAAGAATGGTTTGGCCACAGGAAGCAACAACAAACATATTCTAGTTCAGAGCTTAGCCTGGAATGGAATCTTATATCTTTCAAGTCTGACCCTTACTTAGCACTGGAAAGAGTTCTCAATTTGGACTTCGGTAACCTGAGTCATCCAGTTCCTGGTTCTACTGCCTATATTTTCAGATGTTCTTCTCTGAGTGATTTAATATAAACACCTTTTTTTTTTCTACTTCAAAGACTGTTCTAATAACTTTTTAATATGAGATGATATGAAATCTCTTTGCAAACTGTAAACTATTGTTCTGATGTAAATTATAATTATAATTATCTCTGCTAAGGAGAAAACCATTTCTATGTCATGTCTCATTCATTGGCATCCAATATTCGTTTGCCTTTTGCCATTGCTTAGAATGCGGAGTCTGTTTTCAGATTATGACTGCTACACATTTGACTTCTCTCAGCTCTCCAGTTAATCTTCCACTGTGTATGATAGAGCTACTTTGTTGAAACCTAGAAACATCCCTCCAAATTGTGTGTGGGCTGCCTGGGCAGCTTCCCACCCAGAGACATGACATATTTGCCCTGAAGATGTTCCGTTGGCATTTTTTTTTTTTAAATAGTTGCTGAAGCAAAAAAAATTGAGACTCGTTGCATGAACATTTGGATTTTGGGCTTCTCCTGAGGAATTAGGGAAGATGGCGGCTGAGTTCGGCATTCCCACGTGATGGCAAGCAGTGGCTGCCTGAACAGACTTTGTCCCTCAGGCCTCCTTCTGGCTCTGAGGCGACACACTTTGCAGTGGCTCTATCTGCTCGAGACTTTTTCTTTCTTCTCACGTGTTCTGTTCTTTCTTCTGATTTATAATTGCTGGTCTTCCTTTAGTCAATCAACATAAGTGGGGGATGACAGTTTATTTTCTTTTACTGGTAGATATTTCCACTTCTCTGAGCAATTCCTGGAACCCTTACTACCTAAGATTCCCTCCTCTGACATAATCCCATTGGTCAATGTTTCTCTTCAAATGTGACGCTCTTATCTGGACAGTATCTGATGCTCAAGAGGGGACCAGGCCAACACTTGGGGGCACAGAGGAAACCAGTTCTGTTGGCAAAGGCATCCTGCTGTGAATGATGCCCTCTGGGTAGTTTCTTAGAGAGTAGCTGCGACAGCCCCACTTCATCATAATACTGCCGACTGCAACCCTGGGGTCACAGTGATCTAAAACCACCGTATTTATTTATTCACCGTCCTGCGCCTTTACCATTTATTTGATTTATTTTTATTTTGTCTTGTCAGCTTGAGGTGTAATTGACAAAATTTTGATATCTGATACATGCATGCATTGTGAAAGAATTCCCACCACCTAGTTAATTAACATATCCTTCACAAATTTATTTCTCTGTGTTAAACATTTAACTTTTACCTTTTTAAAAAAAGGATTATTTATTTATGCATACAGAACTGGGGTACAGGCCAGAGGTGCAGGGACAGAGACAGAGTGGGGAGCAGAACAGCCTTACTGATGAGGTACATGGCTGAGGGGAGCAGCGGGTGGGTCAGGACAGGTCACCTCAGGGGCGGAGATCAAACTCATGCCGAAGTGCTGTGCTTTAACCCTGTGTGCCACCAGGAATGGACCTAAGTTTTACCCTTTTAATGAATTCAATTATGTAACACTGTTGATAACTCTAGTCACCATGTCTTACCTTGGATCCTCAGATTTTACTCAACTTACAATGAAAAGTTTATTTTTACCTACTTCTCCCAAATGCCCTACTTCTCCTCACAACACACTCCTCCCCACACCATGAGTATAGCTCTTACATACTCTCTGTTTCTATGAGTTCAACCTTTTTTCTTTTTTCTAGATCCCATGTACAAATGATAACATGCAGTGTTTATTTTCCCCTCTGTGGCTTATCTCACTTAGCACAAAGCTGCCAATTTCATCTATGTCGTCATAAGTGGGCACATTTCCTTTTCTCCCATGATTGAATAATATTTCATTCTTTCTTCTATTTGTGACTGACATTTGTCACACACACACACACACACACACACACACACCACATCTCTTTTTTCCATTCATCCACTTGTTTTTCCATATCTGGGTTCTCATGAACAATGCTGCAGTGAACTTCAGAGCACAGACACCACTTTGATTTTTGGTTTTCACATGGGACTGCTGTTTTTGTTCATTCTATTTTTAATTCTTTGAGGAAATTCCATACCGTTTTTCACAGTGGCTGCACCAACATAGCACAAAGGTTTTTCCTCACATCCTTGCCAACACCTATTATAGTTTGTCTTTTTGATGACAGCTGTTGTAACAGGTGAGAGTTGATAGCTCATTGTGGGTCCACTTATGAACTTTCACCTAAATACAGGAGTCTACCTTTATACCTGATACAGCTCATCCTGCTCATTGCTTCCCACGACTCCATCCTCCTGGCATCACTAAGGAGTTGATTCTGTAATTCACTATGTTATTGTGTCCTCCAAGCCCCATGCCCTTGGCCACTGAGCTTTGCTTGCTTGCTGAACTGTCATCGGTTGGCAAATCATTAATAAAATTTGAATTTGAAAAAAGAGGAGGTGGAGGGAAAGTGAGGCAATTCAAATAATAGAGTGGGTTCTGACTCTGGGTGCTGAATTGCTATAGCGATTATTTTTAATAACAAAAGAAGATAAAATGGTGGCAGACACCTAAAGATCTAGTGTAGATAGCCTGAAGTGTAAGTTAAGAGAGCCCCAGGAGAAGTTTATAGTGTTTTAGTTGCCATAAAAGCAAGGCTGAAATACAAAGGAAAACAGAATAACAACCATGAAATTTTGGTGAGAGGCATGTTTGTGTGAGACAAAGAACAGTGACCATTACAAGGAAAAAAAAGAATGTTTCTTGTTTGTGAGGTAATTTGTAAAGAAAGATGGTGCATGGATAAACAGAAAATAGACTACCTTCCTGTGTTTATTTGCGTCTGTGAAAGCGCTGTTGGAAGGGTGGTTGCATGGGACATGCCAAGAGGAATGAATTAAGGTCAAGGGTCACCACATTCCTGGAGTCCTCGGTGGTTGTTGCAGAGACTGTGTGCTCTAGAGAGACTCTCAGCTGTGACTCTTACCCGGTGCCAGAAAAGAAGGGAGCATTAGCAAAACACCCACAGCAGGCATCTTTCCTGCTATTCTTGTACTGTTTTCTTTTGTTCTGAACATGGGACTATCACTTAGATGTTCAATGGAATTTCCAAAGACTAATTTCATAACAACACTCATCCTCTTACTACAGAATATGCAATGGTTAATGAACAACTCAGGCCTGCTTAGTTTAAGGTTCTTCTTCCCTTCCATTGTAACAAACAGATTTTTTTTTTAATATCATAAACTCTTTCTTCTTCATTTATTTTTGAGGGTGCATGTCAACTGCTAGGCAGGAACTGGGGGCCCTGACATGTCCACAAATCTCATCGTGAGCAGGCTTCATGGCCAGAGAGAAGTTGGCTGCCCAACTGTTTGTGTTTGGTTTCATAGGAGTCAGGTGGGGGTGCTGAGTCTGTAGACTAAGGAATTCAATTTAGTTAGCTCCCCTAGAGCTGAATAAGCCCTTGGAGTTTGATTAATATTACACAAATCATAAAGTCTCACTTTATAACCATAATACCAATTTAATTAATAGTCAGATGGCTGCTGAGTAAGCAAGGAATTAGAGCAAAGGGATTTGGTTTATTTTTTGAGAATATTTCACCCAGGCTAAGTTTTCTTACTTCAGGATAGCGTATGCTTCTCTTGTTCTCAGAATGTTTGTGTCTACTTTATCTGGTTGACCTTTCGTCCAGAGATGTTGAACCAAAGCTGAAAAACCTCCCCTTTGTCTC